TCAAAACCATTGAATAAAGTGTTTAGGATTTTCTATTTTCTGTGATCGAATACGTACGATTAAATCCGGCTAACCTTCCTTGCGATACGACCCGGGGAACAAATCTTTTGACTCTACTCCGGTAAAAATACTCACAACAGCAACGCCAGAGCTGATGATATAGTTGCGGGTAAATTATGTATAGGACAATTTGGAGACTGGCTGAAAGTCTCCTAGCCCCCATTTTTCAAATCTAAACCAGCCTCTTCCCCTTCACCTCAAAGTTCCCCTCAAACCCAGTCCCCATCTCATATAAATTCCTCAAATCCTATTCCTACCTCAGGCAGCGGATCTAAAACTCCCATTATAAGCCAACCAATTGCTCTCGCTAATAAGCCTGTTACCTCTGACCAAAACCCTCAACCCTCTCACACCAAACACAAACATCCTCACACTTCTAAACAAATGCCTCTAACAGTCAAACTCCCACCATCTCTCATGTTCACCACTATGCCTGAACCCCTTCTCCTGCTCACAAACCATGATTCTGATCTCCAACCCCCTAGGAATACCCAGCCAAGTGAAATTATCCCCTCAAATATGGCCATTGACCCCTTGATCACCCTAGAGGCTTCTTTAGCTAAAAAGAAAGGAAAGCAAAGTAAGAAGTGGTCCAGGAAACCAAAAACAAGCAATTCAAACAACCCACCATCGCAAGAGCAATCTATCTCCCTAAAAAATCAAAAGGGTCCAAAAAGAGGCAGACTCCAATCTGAAAGTGCAGAGGCTCAGCCCTCAGAGGCCATTGACACAGTGAGCAAGAAGAAGCCGAAGAACTCCTCAAATAATCCAATTGACGACGTGGTGGAGGCAGCCAGCCCGAAATGGCTCCCAACCCCTAAATGAAGTCAATGGTGTGGAACTGTATAGGTCTGGGAGGACCCTCTACAGTTCCCCAACTCAAGGAGATGATTAGGCTCCACCTCTCCTGGTTTGCCTTCTTATGCGAAACTAGGCAAACCAGCCCTTTTGTTCTCTCAGTCTGCAGAAAAATAGGCTACGAAAACAGGAGTATCATTGTTAACCCAGCTGGTAAAAGCGGAGGGCTCCTTCTCCTTTGGAATAAGGACATCACCATCCTGCGATCAATTGAAAATAGTTTCTGCATCGAAGTAGAGTTTTCGCATAGTTCAGACCAAAAGCCCATGTGGATGGTATTTGTGTATCTTAGCACATATCACAAGGAAAGAGAAAATCAAAGAAGATACCTGGAGCAAGCAAAAACTCTTTGGGGAGATAGATGGGTAATCGGAGGCGACTGGAATGATATCTGCTGTAATGAGGAGAAGTCAGGGGGCAAGAAACGTCCTGGGACCAGCTTTCGGAGTTTAAAAAATTTCATCGCCAACATGAGCATGCTGGAAATCCCGCTTATAGGTCACCCTTACACATGGTGGAACTGCAGGATGGGCTTTGACTGTGTAGAAGAAAAGCTCGACAAATTTTTTGCATCTCTGGGGTGGCTTGCATCATACCCAAACTCCAATGCAACTAATATATTCTGGAGTTCTTCCGATCACAGCATTGTTATGATCTCTCAAGGCACAACCCCAGCTAGCACTAAAAAGAGATTCATCTTCGATAAACGCTGGTTGCTCAAAGAAGGTGTAGGTGACTCTATCATCGATGCTTGGGCAGGGTTTCAAGTACGGCACCCCATGATCCGATTTCAGAGAAAAATAGCGGCGACTCGGGTGGCCCTACTAAAGTGGAGCGGGAAATTCAGATCAGAGAATGAAAAAGACCTTTAAGCAGCTACAAAAAAGATGGAGGATTTGCGAGCGCAAGGAAATAACAGGGATTGGGCGCTGTGGCAATCCCCAAAAAATCGTATAGACTCCATACACAAATCTGAAGAAAGCTACTGGAGCCAAAAGTCAAGACTTCAATGGTTAAAAGAAGGCGACAAAAACACCCATTTTTTCCACGCTTTTACCTCCCAAAGAAGGAGATCAAATGCCATCACCCGGATTGTGAAAGCAGATAACTCCATAATCTCTTCTCTTGAGGACATTGAAAGGTGCTTCTCTGATTTCTACAAAAAGCTTTTCTCGTCGGAGCTCTTGACTCCTGATGCTGAAGACCTATTCTTGACTGCATTCAGCCATCCATTACTCAATCGATGAACTCAAGACTTATTGCAGAGGTGTCAGATGAGGAGATTAAAAGAGTTCTAAATAGCATGAACCCAAACAAGTCGTCGGGCCACGACGGTATGACTCCTCTATTTTTTTCAAAAACTCTGGGACACTCTCAAACCTGATCTCTGTAATGTTATTCACAGTTTTTTTAGCAGTGGTTTTATGTCAAAATCCTGGAGTCACACCATGCTTACTCTTGTTCCAAAAATGCATAATCTTGATAAAGTTGAACACTTTCAGCCTATTAGTCTGTGTTGTGTTGCCTATAAGATTATTACAAAAATTCTTGCTTCTAGATTAAAGCAGTGTCTTCCTGTTTGCATTATTGAGGCTCAAGCAACTTTTATTCAGGATAGACAGCTCCTAGACAATGTTGTTATTGCACAAGAAGCCATGCATTTCTTAAACAGACATAGATCAGGACCTAAATGTTTTATGGCTATTAAACTTAATATGGAGAAAGCGTTTGACAGAATTGAATGGCACTACATCAAAGCTATCGTGATGAAAATGGGTTTTCATATGCAATTTATAAACTGGATAATGGCCTGTATAACTTCTTCCAGTTTCTCTTTTAATCTAAATGGCCAAAAGTGTGGTTTTGTTTCTCCTTCCAGAGGGCTCAGGCAAGGTGATCCAATCTCACCCTACCTGTTTAACATTGTTTCAGAACTCCTTTCCTGTTTGCTGAATACTGCTATCCAAAATGGCTCTATAGATGGGATGAGCATATCCAGAAATGGCCCAAAATTTTCCCACTTACTCTTTGCTGACGACACCCTTCTGTTTTGCCAAGCATCTACCCAACAAGCTGCTGAAATTCTGAACACTCTTCTCACATACCAAACTTTCTCTGGTCAGAAAATTAACCTAGCCAAATCATCCATTTTTTTCAGTAAAAATACCCCCTCCTCTGTCCAAACTGTATCTGCTCCCTCTTCCATGGGATAAAAATCCAAATCTCCTCTAAATACCTTGGTCTGCCCTTGTGCATTGGCCGCTCTAAGAAAGATACTTTCAACTTTGTAGTGAAAACAGTTAAAAACAGAATCCAAAATTGGAAGAGCAAATTCCTCTCCTCTGCTGGGAAGGAAGTATTGTTGAAAGCTGTCCTTAGTGCTCTTCCAACCTTTGTGATGTCATGCTTTCTCTTACCTTCCTCCCTTTGTGCCCAGATATCTAGCCTTTTTGCAAATTTCTGGTGGTAAAAAATTGGGAGGCAGGATAAAGGCTTACACTGGAAACAATGGAACCACCTTACTACTCCTACTGAAAATGAGGGGTTAGGCTTCTCTGACCTCAAACTCTTTAATGAATCCCTTATTTAAGCAACTCTGGAGAATTCACACAAAACCCCAACTTCTTATAAGCAGAATTCTAAAAAAGCAAATACTTTCCAAATAGCTCTTTTCTGGATATTACACCTCCTCAAAGCTGCTCTTGGCTTTGGAGGAGTTGGATGAGTTTGAAAAAAAAAAATTCAGCAGGGTCTGCTGATCATTGTTAAAGATGGCAAAGATACTGACATCTGGAAGCACCCTTGGGTGCCAACAATTCCAGATCACAAGCCCAAGAAGAAGGACCCTGTTCAGAACTGCATCCTTTCAAAGGTCTGTGAGCTCATAATACCTCTGACAGACTCATGGGACCTTCATCTGATGCATCAACATTTCAGTCCTGAAGATTGTGCAGAGATCCTCAAAATTACCACCTTGGACAGAAATCAGAGGGATAAAGCTTCATGGAGCTATGAAAAGAAAGGTATTTTCTCTGTGTCATCATCGTACTCAACCCTCATGCAGAAGAAAATTTTGGGATTGGATATTCCTGAGTCAAGCACACAGGCCTCTTGGATCACCAAAGTAAGGGCTTTCAGCTGGAAGCTCAAAATCAAAAAGAAAATCAAACACTTCATTTGGAAGTGTTTTTCAGGAATCCTACCATCTCAAACAAATCTCTGCAGAAAAGGTATGAACATAGACAGCATTTACAAAGTGTGTGGTGATGCAGTGGAAACACCAGAACATATCCTCTTTACCTGCCCAAAGGCTGAGAAGGTTTGGAAACTTGCACCAGTAAGTTGGGATGGGCTTCATCTGGATACTAACTGCTTCAAAGCCTGGTGGAAAGAAGTCTGCCTTATGCACAAAGACAAAGCAGCAGAGGAAAGAATCCAACTCACCACCTACATTCTACGGTGGTTATGGAAGAGGAGAAACCTTTGGGTATTCAAGAACCAATAGATGTCTGAGGAGGCATTGGTGGATGCAGCTTCCTCTAAATGGGCTGAATTCTCTTCTATTTAGTCTTTTGTTTTATTTTGTTTTGGTTGTTCAGGCTACCTAGGTGTTTATTACAGTGGTTAGTTGGTTTATTCATTTTGTCTGATGGTATGGCTAAAGGCCTCAGTATTCTATACCGCCTTTAGTCCAACCATCAGTCCCTCTTCATCTTCTAGGCCAATTTGTTTGTGCCTCCATTCTTAGTCTTTTGTGGTAGTTGTATATAGCCCTGTGGCTTTTGCTGTATATAGCCCTGTGGGCAGTGAACTCTGTATTTTTCTTGTTTTCAGTTATGGTTATATTCTTCGTTTCGAAAA